TCAGGCAGCCCAGGCACCCCTGGGCTGCCCGAGCCCCTCCGCGGCTTTGCTCTGCGTCTTCCTGGTCTGCAGACCAGGGAGACGCAGAGAAAGCCCCAGAGTACACGGGCGGCAGGACCGCGAGGTCCCGCAGTCCGTGTACTCTGGGGCAGCCCCGTTCGTATCTGCGGATCCGACATAAGTCGGATCTGCGTAAGTCGGGGACTGCCTGTACGTACAAACTTCCCAGAGAAATTCGATTCATACATTTATCTGTGGGTGAGACAGCATAACCCTTGTGTGGCTTTCTTGCTACTAGATGATTTGATAGTTTGATTACATGACATGTTTTAACTGCAGTAAGTCCCTAGCTGTTATCTATGGACCCATTACATGTGGTCCAAAAACAGCCAGGTGATGGTACTCCTTGTTTCTAGCTACTAATCTGTATTGAAAGAAGCAAAATACATACTGATACTTTCCTAATACATTTTTTCCATTTGTTATAATTCCCAGAAGGGTACACTATTCAGTCATGAGTGGGAGGACTGTGAAATGGGTCACATGACTGGGAGTAAGATAGGTGGTTTGAGACAATCTTGCTATTAAGACTGACCACAATGTCAATCTTCGTTTGAAAAGCTAACTTACCATACACTACAGGATAGACAGTCCCTCTGATTCCTGAAGCTGGACAATGCATATTCTTTCCATTTAAATATACATTTAGTTCTACATGGTCATATGTAATACCCTATAGGGCAAACAGAAAATGTTAACATAAGATCATCAAGCTAACACGTGAAAATACTAACAAATATTTATTTTTACAGCTAGGCTAGCTGAACACAATGAACAGTTTCTAACAGGATGACATAAACCATAATCTCCTAAAAGAATTCACTAGACCATTTTTCTGGATGCTTAAAAAGTCAATAATTAAGAATTATATTTGCATTCACAAGCACCCAACGTACTTGCAGTCTTATCCAATCAGAGGATAGCAGCACGACAATCAACTTATTTGATGAACAGCAGCTAACCAACAAAGCTTAAATTGTGAATTTACAGAACTCAGGCCCTTAGCGAAGTACTGCATTTGTTACTTATTATCCTTCAAGTGTTTTAACTTCAGCTTTGCAGACTAAATAGACTGATGATAGAAATGTAGCAGTGTTAGTCTGGTGTAGCTGAAACAAAAAACAGGACTATGTAGCACTTTAAAGACTAACAAGATGGTTTATTAGGTGATGAGCTTTCGTGGGCCAGACCCACTTCCTCAGATCAAATAGTGGAAGAAAATAGTCACAACCATATATACCAAAGGATACAATTATTAAAAAAAAAATAGTGAACACATATGAAAAGGACAAATCAAATTTCAGAACAAAAAGGGGATGGGTGGGGGGGGGGGGGAGGGGGAAGGTAAATGTGTGTGGGAGACAGACCCATAGTCTCCTATAGACAACCACCTAACCTCAAGATGATTCTTACCAACAATCACAGGACATACCACACTATTACCAACCCTGGAACTTTCCCTTGCAACAAACCCCATTGCCAGCTTTGTCCACATATTCACTCTGCTGATACCATTATTGGACCTAACCAAGTGAATTATAAGATCAAGAATACATATTCCTGCTCATCCAGAACTATAATTTATGCTATCATGTGCCGAAAGTGTCCATCTGCTATGTACATTGGACAAATGTCTCAGACACTTTGCCAAAGAATCAATGCCCACAAAACAGATATTAGACAGGATCACAAAGAAAAAACAGTTTCTTGCCATTTCAACCAGAAAGAACATTATCTCAATGACTTGATTACCTGCATCCTGCTTCAAAGACCTTTTAAGACCACACTTGAAAGAGAATCTTCTGAACTGACATTCATGCTTAAATTTGACATTTTACGCCTAAGTTTAAACAAAGACATTAATTATCTTACACATTACAAAGATAGCTTCCCCAATTATCACCTCTAATATCATTAGCTCACAGACATTTACCTCCCCTCCCCATCCCCCTTCTGTTCTGAAATTTGATTTGTCCTTTTCATATGTGTTTACTTTTTTTTTTAAATTGTATCCTTTGCTACCGTATTTTCCGGCGTATAAGACGACTGGGCATATAAGACGACCCCCTAATTTTCCAGTTAAAACATAGGTTTTGGCCTATCCTCGCCGTATAAGACTACCCCCCCCCCTTCCGAGGCAACACCATTTAATAACATCAGATTTGATTTAAATAATTTTAATTAACATGGTTTTGACTTACCGGTACTTAAAATCCTTCAAAATCCTCATCATGTTCATACAAAGCCTGCTCGGATTGGCAAAGGTTGTAATAGCCCGCCTCTCTGACTCAGCCAATCCGAGCAGGCTTTGTATGCATTAATAGATGACACCGCTTGCCGTGATTGGCTCAGCGCGGTACATACAGTATCAGCACAGGGACGTTCTGTATGTAGCCGAAGCTACAGTATGTTTATACCCGGCGTATAAGACGACCCCCGATTTTTGGGGGATGTTTTTTAGTATAAAAAGTAGTCTTATACGCCAGAAAATACAGTATTCATTATCTATGATTTTCAAGTTTGCCTTTAAACATTTTCAGGGGTCTGATAGAACTGCCTTGCAAGACACTGGCAAGACTCTGACACCAGCTGGTGTTGGTTTAGGCCAGGGCTACTCAACTTTGGAAGCCCTGGGGGCCACAATGATACTCTCAGCACATGCTGAGGGCCGCAAACTTAAGCGTGGTTGCATGTACATTATTTGCAAATCACTTCTTTCACACTGACAGGCATGAATACAAAGCACTTCCCACAATGCCCCGACGCTCCCAGCACCTCCTCCCTGGGGGCTAGAAAAGCGGACACCCTGTACCCGTCTGTTCCAGCCAGCCTGTCTGCTTGCATCTTTCAATGCTCACCCTGCCTGGGAGATGCCTCACCATTGTGGAGCAGATTTCTGGAGAACAATGTGCTCTGTCTGTGCCAGCTTCTGTTTCAGCTTGGTGGTATGCGGCCAGCTACAGTGACTGAACGATATATCTGCTAGCTCTCTATGGGGTAAGGGAGTAGTATAAGGGCCCTACCATCAATCAAACATTAGCCCCGCCCCCTGACCCTGGAAGTCCCCCCCCCCGACTCCCCGGAAGTCCCTTCTCCCTTGTCACTGGCAGTCCCGCCCCTGGAGGGTAGTACATCCGGGTCGAGAGGGACAGGTGACCGGAAGTAAAAAAGGATGTCATGTGACCCCGGTTAGGCCCGTCCCCTGTCACCGGAAGTCCCGCCCTTGGGGGTAATACATCCGGGGTCAAGAGGGGCAGGTGACCGGAAGTAAGGGGTGTCATGTGACCCCTCTAAGGACTTGCCCCTCCTCCCTCTACCAATCAGGAAGGGCTTTCCCCGTAGGACCGCCCCGCGAACCGCTTTGACCAATCGGGGGGCAGTTCCGGGAACGGATGACCCGCCCAGAAGTGGGTCGTGTGACCCCTCTAAGAACTCAACCCGCCTCCCTCCACCAATCAGGAGGAGTTTTTTCCCTGTAGGACCGCCTCGTGAACTGCTTTGACCAATCGGGGGGCAGTTCCGGGAACGGATGACCCGCCCAGAAGTGGGTCGTGTGACCCCTCTAAGAACTCACCCTGCCTCCCTCTACCAATCAGGAGGGTTTTTTTCCCTGTAGGACCGCCCCACAAATCGCTTTGACCATTCGGGGGGTGCAGTTCTGGGACCCGTTGACCAGACCGGAAGCTGGTCGTGTGACCCCTCTAAGAGCTTCCCGTGACACCCTCTGTCAATCAGAGCATAGCACTTCCCCATAAGTTCTAGCGCCACACAAAAGAGGCCATCTTGTTCCAAGATACAGCTAGGACACCGCAGCGGCACGCCCACGCTGTCTGAGCACGTTCCGCTCAAGCAGAGGCGGCAACAATACCTGCAAGAGTGGTCATGACTGTATACTGTGTGGCAAAACTCACAATAATTTTTCGCTCCGAACAACTTTTTCACATCCAGAACCCCATAGTAATGCTCATCTCCGCCAAGCGCCGCGCGCCCGGGGCCGGCGCTCCCCCCGCCAAGCGCCGCGCGCCCGGGGCCAGCGCTCCCCCCGCCGGTGCTCACCGTGCGCCATGTGCCCGGGGCCAGCCCCGAGCACCGTGCTGGGGACCAGTATCAGCACAGGTACGTTCTACACCTGGCGTATAAGACGACCCCCGATTTTTGGGGGATGTTTTTTAGTGTAAAAAGTCATCTTATACGCCGGAAAATACGGTATATATGGTTGTGACAATTTTGTTCCACTATTTGATCTGAGGAAGTGGGTCTCACCCACGAAAGCTCATCACCTAATAACCCATCTTGTTAGTCTTTAAAGTGCTACATAGTCCTGTTTTTTGTAAATAGACTGAGTGAGCCTTTAAAAAGAGACTGCAGCACAGAAAGATTCTCTCCCCACACTGAAAATAATCTACATGAAGCTCACAAACATCAGGAATTAAAAAGAGAGACTGAAAATTTTGTTATTAGAAACAATATTAATCTTATTACTTTCATGTACTTAAAAATGTCTAACTATGTTAAAGTAGTAACACAGCACAACCCTTAAATATACAGGGTTATTTCAAATATATTTTAGGAGTGAGAGTGAGTATGGCTCATGCAGATTCCCAAGTCCCTTTCATCCATTCAACTGTCTTTCCAATATTTTTTTCTCCATTCCCAGACTAATTTCCTCTCCCTTTTCTAAACTGCATCCGAGCTTGACTAAAAATACACCCCCCTTATCCGAATACCTTTGGAGGAAGATTTGTAGCAAGGTAGCTAGGGCCCCTGTGTCTGACTGCTATCTAAGCACACCCCAACAAAGCACTCTTATGCTCCCTGGGTACAACCTCATCGGGATCTCCAGTACATTCTGGGACATCTTTGACCAGGAAAGCCAACAAGCCTCAAAGAGGTTGAGATAAGTATGGTTACAGCTCTGTTAGGTTTATAGGCAAATACAGCTACCCTAGTAACAGTAGGTAGCAATGAAGCAATATTGTGATGGACTATATAAAACCCATAATGTCACAGTCACTAAGGGGTTATAGGTTGGGATATAAAGTCCCCTTTAATCAGTTAACTGATTAAGCAGGATCCTGGGTGCGGAACAGCCCACAGCCTTCGGGGCTGCTGCCTCTACCAGCCCTGCATGGGACTCCTAGCTACCACCTTGGCCATGGGTGGTCCCAGTGGGGCTGCCTCTGCCTGTGGCTGGCTGCAAGCTGCTCCAAGGAGCTGGTTAACTGTTAGACGGGTTACCCTGGTAAGGTTACCTGTTCACATCACTAGTTAAGGGGCAGACTACTTACCTCCCCACTAGTGGCTAACTGATTTGCAACATATGGAATAAGCTATCCAGGCACAGGACTACTTTGCATCAGCATCAAACTGGCAGGAAGCCACCCTAAGAGCAGGACTAGAAACCTCTTGATGACTGGGGTAGAACTGCTGGGGAAGACCCACTAGCCAAATAGGTAGATATCTTTCCTTATTCACTCCATGAGGTAGAAGGAAGACTGGACTCCCTATAGGCCTGCTGTCAGGCATAGGCGGAAGATAACATAAGGACTGGAGGACATTGGAAGCTGAACTGAGGAAGCACTTAAAGGACCAGTTCTGATGAACAAGAGGGCATGCAAGCCTTCATGTCTACCTCATTTCTCCAAAAATAATGTGAAACTTATGAAGGGAGAAAGAGTCAGGGAGAGGAGAAGTAAGGAATATTTGACTCTGAACAGCATTTTCCTCTATCCATTTATTCTCTAAAAAGTATTGGAAACAAACTCTTTCCAGTTATGCTCCTGCTAGTGATGTGAATTAGAAAAGACAGTGAGGAAGGAGCATACCTAACTCAGGGCATAAGACCTCATGATCAATACACAACTATATTTTACTACATGATTACAATTCTGAAGGGTTATGTTGCTCAATAATGTTTTTTAGTAAGAAATACTAAAAATATTTTAAAAGCCTATTTTTTTTTTACAAGTGAATAGCTGAATATTACCATCGCATACACTGTATGCATATTAATTTACTTTTCAGGGTTTCAATATCATTCTTGTTTAGCTAGCCTTGAACAAGTGCTCACTGTATTCCCTTTAGCCTCGCATCAGTGCTGACAGCAAATCCTGCTTTGGAAAAATCACCGAAACATCTATTGCTGAGTTAGTCAGACATGGCAACAAATTTACATAAAAAACACCTAAGGAAACTCACCACCACGTCACCCTCCTGTGGCAGGCTGTTTGCAGGCAGCCTGTTCTTCTCCTCATTGTTGTGATAGAGAGCTCCATCATTCCTCATCACTAAACTATGCACATCTCGACCAAGTGGAATTTGATTCAAATTTGCTTTCTGGGTTGCAACTCCAATACCCCAAATCCCTGCAAATATTATGATGATATTATGTAAACACTGTATTTTGTTTCTTTTGAAATGTCAAGTTGAGAGTAAGGGATATATTCTAAGTGCGTGCCATAATGACAGCAGTATCACAAAGGATTTTTTATTTGAAAATCATCAGCAATTATATTCCCTAAACTGAGAGTCTATAAAACAGGGCTATTCAACATGTGGCCCTGCAGTCCATTTGCATTTGGCCTGTGGCACCCTGAGCTGCTTCCCGGGCCGCCTGCTTGCCTCATAGCTGTGGGCTCCAGCAGCAGTGCCTCCCTGTGAGCTAAGTGGCACCACACTGAGACAGGCCGCATTGGCGTGTGAGGGGGAGCTGCTGGCTGGCAGGGAGGGAAGGGGGCAGCAAGAGGCAGTGGTAGAGCACACCTCCCACGTCAGCCATAGCAGCAGCGCTTCCCTGAACGCGGTGGAGCGTGTGCAGGAGCTGCCAGGGCGGCAAGAGGCAGCGGCGGAGCTGGCAGCGAGACATGTGGCAAGGCAGTGGAAGAGCTGGGCAGCGAGAGACGTGGGCAGGCGGTGGATCCAGGCAGTGAGGCCAGAGTGAGAGAGATCTGTGCTGGGGTTTGGGTAGGGTTACCATATGTCCATTTTTTCCTGGGAATGTCCTTGTTTTTCATGTTAAATCACCATCCAGACAGGTTTTTTAAAAAGCAAAAAAATGTCTGGGATTTTTTGCCCTGCAAAGCGGATTGGGGAGGGGACAGCAGCACATGCCTTCAATGGAACTTTGGAGCTGTGCTCCCGGACCATTCACAGCCGCTCTGTGCACGGGCCCCAGCACCTGGAGGGAAAAGTGCATGGCTCCGGTGAGACCCAGGGCATTACCCTCCACCCTGCTAGATTTATGTCTCTGGTTCTGCAGGAGGGAAAGGGCACTGGGTTAGAGCTGGAGTTCCTGGTTCTTGCGGAAGGGAGGGGAATTGGGTTAAAGCAGTGGGCTGGGGGATACCTGGCTCTAGGGGAGGGAAAGGGCATTGGGCTGGAGCAGGGTGGCTAGTGCCTGGCTCTGGGGGAGGGGTGGGTGCATTGGATTAGAGCAGGGAACTGGGTGTTAAAACTTCTGCCTTCTTTCCTTTCCTGTATGTGGGCAGTGGGTCTGTTCGTTAAACTTCGGGGTTCCAGTCTCTGTTCTGTGAGGACTGTGCGAGCTAGTGCTTGATGGGGCGGGCAGGGGAAAGGAAGGGATTCTGGGAAGCAGGATTCCTGGGTTCCTTTTCTAGCCATGCCACATTCTCTCCTCAGTGCCTTTAACTTCACATTGATTGTACTTATATTTCAGTAAATATTGTATTGGCAGTTTTTGATTGATTTGTTAAAATTGTGAAGCCAAAACAAAAAAGTAGTCAATATAATTGTCTTTTGTTGATATGTGTTTTAGTAGTTAAATTCCTGGACTATCATTGCTCATTAAAAGTTCTGTCATATGGGTGGAAATCAGGCAAATATTGTATTTTATTAGTATCAGCAGAACTGACTTAAATGGGGCCTCCGTGTTGTATAGTCTTGCCTTACTCTTTGTATTCATGCCCATCAGTGTGAAATAATTTATTTGCATATATATGCAACCACACTTACGCTGCGGCTCTCGGCATTTGCTGTGGGTATCATCGTGGCCCCCAGGGCTTCCAAAGATGAGTAGCCCTGCTTTAAAATATCCTTCCCAAACATGCTGTATTTCAGTGTTTTCTGTTTATTAGCCACCAATATAAAAGATAAGGGGTAAGAGTCTTAGCTGCCACTCTAGCCATTTTAGGTAATAACTGGATCAGAACAGAGTTCTCACTGGAGGAGGTTTACTGGAACTACAGAGGATAACCAAAAGGATGTCTCTGAAGACCCAGCTGCAAGCCTTGGTATGGGTGCATGCTGAATGCAGGGCTACATCATATACAAGCCAGTGATTTCATACAATGCAGCAGGTTATAGGGCAGCCTGGGCTGTCTAATTTACTCTGGAGATGCTTCAACCCTAGAAGCAGCCCAGAATTGAGAGGACAAGAAGGTGTCTTTAAAACCACATTAAGCCCATCGCCCTGAGTTGTGTGTTCTGTGCTGTGTCTTTAAGTACAGAATAATTCCCACAATGGCCAATGGGAAGCTAAAGGAGAAGAACCTGGATACGTACTAAAACATCAAATAAATGTAGACAGCTAGCAGCAAACATTATTGGAGAAAAAGTGCAAAACCTATACACATTATTCTACATGCTCATTGTTCGATATCAACAATAATGAATTTAGCAGAAAATAGCTTTAAATTATTTGAATTGCTAAAATATATATACAAGGGTGTTCTGCGGATCTGGGTATTTCAATTAATATTGATTTTAAGAAATCAAAGCAGCCAAATAGAAAAAAAAAAAGACATCTTTCTTAGAAGATGACAATTTAGCTTCCTACAAAAGTTTGCTTTTTGTAAAGTGTGTTATTTCTCATTGTAGTGTGTTATTTCTCATTGTAGTAGTCCAAAGATGAAGCGCATTTAGTTACCAAAGATTCAGATGCTTTGCCTATTTGTAATCAAATCTCAAATACAAGCCTAAAGTTGAAAATGATATTGCTAACTAACCTGTGGATTGGATTTTAAACTCAAAATAACTCTTGTTCTGATGCAAGGGTGCATTGGCTAAGCAACCTCCTGTGCCACATATTCTTCGGCCATTTTTGACAATGACGACATCTGTTCCTGCACACAAAAATAATACACAAACTTCAAAACACTTTTTTTTTAATTTTGGAGACATCCACTAAAACCCCTAAACAACAAACATATTTTTGCTTTCAATGCCAAGCAAGAGCTCCATTAGTTTATGAGAATTCGTTTGTGCAGTGCTATCAAAGAAAGAAAAGATGGTGTTTATAGTCTAGTTCATCTTTCATCTATTTAAAATCTATGTTCTTTAATTTCTCCTCTTAGGCATTAAGGCAACATGTTGATCACATTTCTTCAAAAACCCCAACAGCATAGATTGCTATATCATTTAATTAGAAAGACATTCATTATGAGAAAGGGAATTCAGGGCTTAGGCTTTTCTCTAAACCATCTCTTTTCCTTGGTCTGGAACTGAAGGACAGACACATGCAATACAAGGCCTTTCATGAGTTGTGGTAATCAAGAATTAATCAATAAGCAAGATTATTTTTAAGGGTTTTGTTGCGAGGTTCCTTTATAAAGATACCTGTCAGCACACAGAACATAACATTGAACTCTTCATTCCATACTGTTCCATGAAAGACTTTAGCTAGAAAACTCTAATAAGCATTTGTTACTGTAGCCAGAGACAAGATTCAGTCCTCAAAAGACAGTCCAATAATTTTTTTTAAAGAGGTCTGGATGTTTTGTAGTCAATAGAATTTTTAAAATGTTTGTTTGGTAAGGAGCAGGCCTTTCTAAATTAGTTTGTTGCAATGCCCTTTACGTAGGAAAGCTTTTGAAACTAAAACTACAGCAGAATATTGCTGCTGGTTATTTAGCAACATTTTCATGATATCACACTACACTAGTGATAGAAATGTAGCCGTGTTAATCTGGTGTAGCTGAAACAACACTAGTACACCAGAGACTATGGAATTCCAATTAGTTTCTATATGGAACACTCTGGCTGCGTCTAGACTGGCAAGTTTTTTCGCAAAAGTGGCCGCTTTTGCGGAAAAACTTGCCAGCTGTCTACACTGGCCGCTTGAATGTGTGCAAGAACATATAATGTAAGATTGTCAGTGTTCTTGCGCAAATACTATGCTGCTCCCGTTCGGCCAGTGTAGACATCTAAAAACTGTTTTGCGCAAAAAAGCCCCAATGGCGAAAATGGCGATCGGGCCTTTCGTGCGCAAAACTGCGTCTAGATTGGCATGGACGCTTTTCCGCAAAAAGTGCTTTTGCACAAAAGTGTCCGTGTCAATCTAGACGCTTTTTTCCGCAAACGCTTTTAACGGAAAAACACCAGTCTAGACGTAGCCACTGTGTGGTTTTTACTTACACTGTGATCCTTAAAGGTTATTTTTGTGCCACACTCTCATAACTGGACTGCAAGCTTTTTGGGAGAGGATGGTCATCATATATATAGTAGCCCATTGTCTGTGCATCTGTAACGCTGACATACATGGCCATGCCCCCTGGCCGTGTACGTCGGCGCCCCGCCCCCCTTCCCCTCCTTCCATGGC